TCCAATCAGACTTGGGCACGTGCCCCTAAACACCTTCCCACTTGACTCCCCCAGCCTGTGCTCCCCGCCGTGGGCTGCGGCTCCACCTGGCTGTGCCCTGCCATTGGACCCTACCCCATTTTGCATCCTCTGCTCTCAGCCTCTTCCTTTCCCTGGCTGGGGGATATGAGCAGGAATGGCTCAATCAGGATATAATCGTTTTTAATTAACGTGCGGATCATTTCACAGGCTGATCTCCTTGGAGACCAGAGGGAAGACGGTCTTTTAAGATTTTCTTTTGCCTCCCTCAACCCCACCCCTCCCTGTTGAAGGCCTTCCCCCCGCTTCACCCACCCAGCCACAACCTTGAAGCAGCACAAAAGCCTGATGCCTGGATCCCTCCTGGGGCCATTAGGAGGAAACAGTGTGCTCACACACAGACATGCACACACATGCACGCGCACGCACACACACACGACCGAGCTCGGGGGCACCCTCCCCTCCCCCCAGAAATGCACAAATGGGATCAGAGACTGACACCACAGAGGGGACACACACACAGAGGCACGCATGCACAACACATGCCCAAGCTGGAAGGCACACAAACCCCTTAAGAAATGCACAAACAGGATCACAGATGTGCACACATACACAAACACACCACAAAAACAGAGGCACCCACAGGCACACCACACACACAGACGTGCACACACAGATGCACATGTCCCTGGGGGCGCATCCAAGCACAGAGATACACCACAGAAATGTCCAAATGCTCACACTCACGGCAGGTTTCTCTCAACCTGGATGGTTGGTGTACTGCAGGGGAGGGGGAAGAAAGTCCCTGTCCTCTGATGGGGAGTCAGAGCCACAATTACCCTGTCCCCCACAAGCACCCCTAAAGCCTCTCCCCTGGGGTGTCCTACCACCTGCCCCACGAGGGACCTAGTGAAATAGGGAAGCCACCACCTCCAGGCCTTGCCTTCTTGACACCCACCGGCCAGACGTTCCCACCTCTGGCCCCCAAACAGCTGTTCCACTGGGCCCTGCACAGCCCACCCGGATGGCCAACCTGACACCTGCACTGGGAGTGATGCCACCCAGCCACTTCCCTGGGTGCCCCATGAGGCCTTCAAGATGAGGGGGCTTTCTCTCTTTTTTCTTCATTTCACTTACATCTTTTTTTCTTTTCCTTGTTTATCCTCCCCCCATTTTCTTCCTTCCAACTCCCTTCCCGCTTTTCTAATCCCTTGCTTTCTCTCCTACTGCCTCTGCTTACACTCTTTCTTCTCTCTCACTTTCTCTCTCCTTCTCTTCTCCCCAGGGGGTCTCCTGGGGTGAATCTCAGGCCAGAGATTTTAAGGTATACCCCATCCCCCACATCACTCCTTCATACCACATATCTGTGCCAACACCTGCCTCTGCTCCTGAACAGATCCAAGGTTAGGTCTATGACAAGTAAACTGAGGAATGGGGCAGGGACTCAACCACTAGGGTCCCCAGACACCTACAGTCCCACCCCTTCACTGCATCTGCTTTGGATCCTCAGTTTTTTGTCTGGAGAATGGGATGGCAAAGAGGAAGGGGCACTGTGGTGGGTAGGTGGGGCGAGCAACAAGGAGCCTGTGGCCACCAAATCCTGTGAACATACCCAGTTGGGGGTGGCCTAGGAGGGCTGAGAAGCCTGTCTGGGGCTCCAGCTGGCGGCACCAGGGGTAAGCTTGGGATCTCAGTCCCCCCATCTGTGAAATGGGCAGCCTTAAAGACCTCAGGAATCTTTTCAGATGCGAAAACCAACATGGCAAATCAGTAGCTGGGTCTTCACTCCTGCAGAGCCCAGCAACTGCTGTGTGACCTTGGGACTTGCTTCCCCTCTCTGGGCTCTGGCTTCCTCTTCTGTCAAAGGAGGGAGGTCAGATAGGTGATTCATTGCCAAGGCTCTTTTCGGCTCTGGTGGAAGATTCTAGATTGTGGGGAAGGAAAAATAGTGTCCCACTTATCCAGGGAAAACTAGAGAAGCCGTTTCTCCCACTGCAGGCAGTCGGAGCCTTCAGCATCAGCAGCGGCATTTTGAGCAAATCATTTTAAATATCAAGAAAAGCTCTCTATACAAAATATATCCACTACATCATTCATCAGGAACATCCAGAATGTTGGACAAAAGGGGAATATTAAGTAAATTATGGTACATCCACTTGATTGGAAAAGCCTGAAGACATTAACCATGGTGTTTATGAAGCACTGGTTACAAAACAGGAAAAGGCTCACATTATGCCGGCAAAGCAAGCAGGATATACATCTGAATATAGAGAATGACGACAAAGTCTTTAAAAAACAAACCAACCACCGAGTCGAAAAGCACTGGGAAGAACTACATCAAAATACTAACATTGTCAGAGCCCGCTAAGACTGTCAATAACCTTATTTTTCTCTTTTTTTTTCCAGCATTTCTCTGAATGCTATTTTACAATATATATTTCAAAAAGATTTAAAAAAATACACAAAGGCTAGATGCTTCCAATTGAGAAACTTTCCCTTTTCATTCATTCATCACTGATTCATTCACTCCTGTGTTTGGCTGGACAAACACAGGACACTGTGAGTGTCTGCTGTGTGCCAGGCCCTGGGGGCTCCAAGGAAGAGAGGAAGAAAAAGGTTCTTGAAAATGGAAACTCGAGGTCTGGGGAAGGGAAGGCAGCCCTACAAATAAGGGGGTTGTGCCACGGGGCATGAGCAGCATTGAATCCCTGCTGGTTTCAGTCCTGTGTCCCAGAGCCTCACCCAGGCCTCCCTCAGCCGCTAGGGTCTCCAGGTCCAACCTATGGGTCAGACACCCACCCTTAATGGCCAGGCCTGCAGCTGAGTGGGTGGGCGGGAAGGGTGGGGGTGGGGAGCAGGGCAAAGGCTTGCTCAGGAGCCTGGGCCAAGGGTAGAAGGGCCTCTCCCTTCCCTCTATCCCAGACCCATGGCGACTTCCCTTCCAGTTCCCCGATGGCCCTGGCTTGTAACCCCTCTTCCCTCCGGGCCAAAAGGCCACTGCCTTGCTGCCTGACCCTCTCTGGGCTCTGATTTCCGCCTCCCACAAGGTCCCTGAACAAGGCACCACCCAGCTGGGTCCTGTTGGGCTTTGAAGGGGGAGTCCAGAGTCTAGAATCTGCTAGCTCCAGTCAGCCGGTGTCATGCTGTTAGCATGTCAGAGGGTCCAACAATGTTTTCCTGCTGTGTGGGGGCTGACAGATTTCTGGGGGAGGGTTAACTCTCTCTATTCCTGGACCAAGAGACAGAACAGCCTGAAAACAGTCTAGCTGCCCCCCTCCCTCTCAAAAGGTGCCTCCCTCTCCCCCAGGAATCCTCATTTTAAGTAGGGAGAGGAATTGCCTTCACCTGCCTGGGCGTCTCTGGACCTGGCTCTCCAACCCAGGAAGAAAAAGGGGAGGGGGCACCTTGATCGCCTGGCTGCTTGCCTGGGAATCCAATTAAGGCTGATTTCCACGGGCTCTCCACTCCTCAATGCCAGTCCAGCTAGCCCTTCGCTCTTCCACGTCTCCCCTTCCTCTGCATCCCCCGATGGAGCAAAAGAATCTGGGGGCTTTTGAGTGCCAGGAAGCCTCTGACCCGGTGGTCCCCCCTTGGACTGAGTCCCTGCCTCAGGACTGCGGTCCCCAGAAATTTTCTGGGCTAGCATTTCCTTCCCATGGCCGCAGTGGGAAAGGAGAAGTTCCCACCACTCTCCTCCCCCTTCATCCTCCCCTCCTCCCGGCCCTGAGGGAGGGGGCGAGGCGTCCGGATCTCCGGGTCATCGGAGCAGCGTCTGCTGAGGATCGCAGGAGACAAACACTTCGTCACACAAGCACAGCACCCTCGGGATCACCTCTTTCAGACCGCATTGTACCGGAGGGGAGGAGGCTGAGGTTGGAGGGGCCCTCGACGTGCCTAAAGTCACCAGCCAATCGCCAAGCCCAAGAGGGGCTGCCATCCACGACCCCCGGCCGCGAACCCAAGCCTCTCGCCTTCGCCGCGCACACCCCCCAACCCCCCTCCCTGCCCCGGCGCCATCCCAAGTCGACATCTCTAACCCAAACAAGCCCCTCCCCCGGGAGCCCCCTCCCCCCCGCCCAAGGCCCAGGGTCAGCAGCCCCAGGAGGGACCTCCTCCCCACCCCACTCCCCCACGGCAGAGGTGCGAGATTTCATTGTCAGCCTGGCCACTCGACCGCGCGTGAGGCTGGGGCGCAGGGCGGGGGGAACCACTGGGCAGGCTCTCGTGCGGGGAGTGGGGAGGGGTCTCCAGGGGAAGTGTTTGAAGCCGCTCCTGCAGCGCTGTCCATATCCGGAAGCCGCCGGGGAAGGGAGGAAGGCGGGGGTGGGGAGAGCGCGACCTTAAGCGCTGGCGGGCGGCGAGGAGGGGCCGCAGCGGCCCGAGGAAGCGCCTGGAGGCGTCAGGGGCGCTGAGTCCCCAGGGAGGCCGCGCTCCCGGGAAGTTTCCCACCGGTTGCCCGGAGCAGGATCGGGCGCGCGGATCGCCCTCCCCGGTCCGACCAGCTTCGGGGCGCAGATTGAGAACTTGAACAGAACTCCTTCCTTCTCTGGCATCTCTCGCCTCCCCATCCGCGGCCACCAGCCCCGCCATCTCAGCCCCATGCCTTCCGCCAATACCACAGTCGCCAAGACCGCTCACCAATGCTTTGTGGAGGAAAGGGGAGGGGGGAATCCCCAGCACAACCAAACTGCGGCCAAAAGCGGCCAAAAAAAAAAAAAAAAAAAGGAAAAAAAAAAAAGGAAGAAAAATTCCTTCTCCTGAGACCGATTCCCTCAACCAGCGTGGAAAACCCCCAGACAGGCAAATCCGCAACTCCAGCCAAGATCCCGGCGCAGCGGGAGGGGTGTCCGCGGCGGGCGGCGACCCCAGCCTGCAGCCCCGGGCTCGGGGCAGGTCTGCGCGCGGCGGTGGGCCGGGGGCTCGGGGAGTCCTGGCGCCCACAGCGGCCCGCCGAAGACACAAAGCTCCGCCGCCAACAATACCTGCGGGCTCCTCCTGGGTCTCCCGGGCGCCGGCGCTGCGCGTCTCGCCGTCTCCCTTTCCCCCGCCGTCTCTCTCCTCCTCTCGCGCACGCTCTCCCTCTCGCCTCTTCCAGAACGCGGTGACCAGATGAGATCCTTGGGAGAAACAAATGTGAGCGCTCGCACGATTCCTTTCTCTCGCCAGCCGCTCGCAGCGGCCCCAGGCTCGCTCCTCTCCCTCGCGCTCCCGCGCGCGCCGCGCCTCTCGCACCCCGCGTTTCCTTCTTAGCAGCCCCTGCGAGCGCCCTCAGTAGCCATTATTCACAGGCCGCCGGGGGACAGGAGGTAATTAGAGACGGCCCCGTGGCCGCATCCACTCGGTAAGCGCGGTGCTGGCGCGGGGCGCGCGCGGGGAGGGGCGCGCGACGAGGGGGCTTGGCTGCGCGCAGCCCGCGCCCCAGACGCGGGGGAAGGGAGGAGGAGGAGGGGGCAGGGAAGGAGGAGGCGGGCGGGGGGACGAGTGATGAGCTCTGGAAGGGAGCAGGAGGAGGGGGCGCCGGGGAGACGCTCCCTTGGCTCTCACCGCGGGGCCTCGGGGTCACCGGCTGCGAGGCTCCGAGGCGCTTAGGGACGGGGGGGTGTGAGTGTGAGAGTGCGCGCGCGCGCGGGCGTGTGTGTGTCAAAGAGAGGAGGGGAGGGAGGGAACGCTTTAATATTTTTCTAGTGACTTACGAGCCTGCGGGTGAGGTCTTGGCTGTGCGTTTAGGTCCGTGTATCAGTGTGGCTGTATATTTCTGGTCTGTCCTACGAGTGAATGTCACGGGGCTTGGAGGGAGGGGGGTCTGGATACAAGCTTGTGAATGTGTTTCTGGGTCTCGGCGGGACTGAATGATGCGGCGCTGCGTGGGGTTGTGTGTCTGTGCGATTGTTTATAGGGGGGTTGTGCGACTCCGTGAGGTACTGCGTGGGTGGGATTGCGCCTGTGTGCGGTTGTGTGTGTATGGGATTGTGCCTGCGTGGGGCTGAGTGTCCGGAGGACAGCTGTGTGGCCGTGTGGGTCTGTTTGCGAGTGGGCTTGTGGGTGTGTGGGGCTGCACATGTAGGGGCAGTGCGCCTGTGCGGGGCTTTGGGTTAACGAAAAGGGCTGTGGTATCTGCGGGCAGTCGTGTGTGTGGTTGGATCTGCGTGGGGTCTGAAGCCTGGCGGGTGGGGGTTAGTCCTGCTGGCGTCGGGGATCGCACCGCGGCAGAAGAGCCGCTTAAGGCGCGAACAGGCAGCGCCGGGGTCGCGGCGCAGCGCGACGTGTAGTAGCGGTGGGGCGTAGAGAGAAGGCGGAGAAGAGGGGGGCCTTCATTGCGCACCTCCCCTCGCCGCATCAGAGACGCAGCTTGGAGATCCTGCCACTTGCCGGCCCCGCGGTCCTAGAGGCACAGGGTTTGGGGGACCCTCCCCAGCTGGGGGAGATGCCTACGGGCCGGGAACGCAGTGAGAACTGACTCGATGATCCCGGGGCAGCACAGAAGCACGCGGCAAGGACCGCCCGGAGAGGTGGGTCGCGGCCCGGAGACAGCCGAGAACTAGGCCGAGACAAAGAAGAGCGGGACCGGGGACCTTGGGGCCAAACCGCGCCTCTAGGTTCCCCAGCGGCCGAAGGGAGTGCGCTCGAGGCCGGCGCGTGGAGCCTGGCGGCGGTGGCTCAGGCCCCTCTTCTCTGTAGTCCCAGCAGCAGATCCAGAGCCCTGGGGGCACGTAATTACGCACCCCCGGGCAGGGCCGCGGTGAGGGGGGTTCTGAGTGCAGCTGGCGGGCACCGAGCCCTGGGGCTGTGATTGAGCGCTCAGCTGGCCCGCCCCTCTCCCGGCCGCTCACCGCCCACGCAGTCATTCATTCATTCATCCATCTATCCGTCGCTGCATCCACCCACCTTTCTATCCATCCACGTGTCCATCCATCTACCGGATTTACTGCACCAGGGATCACACAGATGTGTCAGCCCTGGCTAGTCCTACCACTTTCTCCCGCTGGCCAGTGAGTCTGTCTGTCTCATTCTCCTGGGCCTCCACCTCCACTTCCTCCTACTCAGGTCTCTCTGCTCTGGCAGGAGCATACCGACCACCTGTCACACTTGGGTTTTGCTGTTCAGTGATGTCCCAATCTCCCCCCTCCACCTACTAAACCCCCACCTTGCCCATACTAAAGTCTCCATACATCCTACACTCAACCCTGCCCATCATTACCTGCCAGATGGGCCTCGGGCACCTTTTTTCTGGCATTCCCTGAAGCCTGGTAGCAGGCCTCCCTACCAGAAATGAATCCCTAAGGTCCTGGGCAGCCCCGCCCTGCTCTGGGCTCCCCATATTTAAAATGTCAGGCTGCTTAGTCTCTGTCTTCAGTATCTGTCTTGGGGACCAGGGTCACTCAGTCCTCAGGCTGCTGGATGAACAAGGAGATGTGCATTGTGTATACCATTAAGGTGGCAATGGAAAAGCCCAAATGCCTGCTGGGGATCACCAACCTGGCTGGAATGTCTTCCCTCCCCTCCCCAGTTTCTGAGTGATGAGGAAGACAGAGTTCCCCAGGTGGCTGATGACAGCCCACACAATCAGGCCCCCACCACCTCCTGCCCTCAGTCCCGCCTGTTGCCCCACTCACCACGTTGCCCCTTGCCATTCCTGAATTCACCAGGCACACTCTCACCTTAGGGCCTTTGCACTTGTTGATCCGTCTGCCTGGAATGCTGTTCCCCACCTTCTAATATACCATGTAATTTACATATTTATGTATCTGGTGGGTATTTTTGTCTGTTTGTTCCTTTGGAATGGTTCCTGGTACACATTCCATAAGCACTTGTTCAATGAATGAGTTAGTGAATGCATGAAAGAATGAGGTTAAACCAAGCCCTCCTCCCGTAAGCCTGACCAACCCCAGGGTTTCTCTTCTTTGAGCCAATAGTTCCACTGGAGAAAATGGGGGTGGAGGTGGAAGATGAAGAACATCAGGGCCAGGACACGTCTTAAGACTCACCTGACATCGCTCAGTGAGTACCCTTCACAGATTCCAGGTCGCTCAGTGAGTAGCCTTCACGGATTCCAGATTCTGGGGATGGGTGTAGAGGGATGGGATGGTGGTGGGTGGCTTGTCTCAAAAAAGGGCAGAGCCTGTCATTTGTTCCAGGGGCTTCTCTTGTTCCCTGGCTCCCTGGGGACTCCCTGGAGCTCCTGGGGCAGTGGTACAGAGGGGTAGTGATTCAGCAGGGCTGCCATTCACATCTGCCAAAGGGTGATGGAAACCACAACCTGGCCAGGGCCCTTCCACAAGTGGTATCATGGAGAGTCACAAGACAGTACCCCAAGGTCAGGATCTGACCATCCCCTAGAGGAGAAACCCAGGCTGAGAGCTTGCAAAGAACTTGTCAAGACCACAGCCACACAATTGGATCCCATCCGACTCTCAATTTCAAGATTCCTTGCTCACCTCCACCAAGCATAGTGCATGGCGTGTGGCAGTGCAGCAGCTTAATATGGATCAAATGAATGGAGTGGCAACCTCACAATTCAAACCTAAAGTGTGCATGAACCCCAAAGTCTTGCTTACTCCATCAGACCCTACTGGCAGGATTCCATGGGATCATGGTGCCAGCACCCAGCACTCAAATGTTGCTGGAACACCAGCAGAGGAGGCTGCCTGGCTGGCAGGCTTCCTGCTCCCTAGGTTGTGACTTCACCTTTCACCAAGAGTCTGCCCCAAGGGAATTGGGATCCTCCCTCGCTGGGTTGGTAGTGGTGCTCACAGGTTTAAAGGGCCCAGTCCTTCCTGGTGAGGTGTGACTGTGTTCTGGAGAACCTAGGTCTGGACAGGTCAGCCCTTTTGTTTGCCAAGCACTATCTCAATAGCTGTTTTCATGCAAGTGTGTGTCCAGACGCCATTCCAGAGCTAAATAATAAACAGGAGCTGTTGACCAGAGAGGCAGGGTGGGTAGAGGGCTGGGGACTCTAAGCAGGGTCCTAGGGAATGCAGGCAATGCAGCCAGCCAAGGACAAGGCTCGCTGACATGCCACCAGGGACACCCAGGTGGAAACAAGGGAGAGGGAGGCCCACCAGGCCAGGCTGGTACACTACAACCCAGAAGTCGTATTCAAGCTTAGCCCTGGTCTGGTAAGCCCCACGCTGGAAGCCTGCAGGCCTGAGGTCAGATGTGGGCCAGGTTTTAACATGGATTCCACATATGTTTATTGAGTAGTGGGGCAGCAACTTCAAATCTCTATGTATCTCCCCGCTACCCCGTCAGTCAGCCTCATTTCAGAGACTGGATCACTGAGGTCCAGGAAATGCACTTGCCCCCAGTCACGTAACTTGAAGGTGGCAGAACTATGCATACATTGGCTTGGTACATATTAACTAAGCACCTACTGGACGCCAGGTTCCATTCTAGGAATGAGACAAAGCTTTCGTTCTAGTCTTGACAGACAAGAAACAGAATGAATACGTAAATAGTGTAGTATGTTACCTTAGGTGAAGCATGCTATGGAAAAATAAATAAAGCCAAGGAAGGGGACTGGGAGCATCTGCAGGAGCTGTTTTTCTACACTGAGTGGTCAGAGCTCATACTTAAGAGCATTTGAGAACACACTTGACAGATGAAGGTAGTGAGGCATGCAGCTGTCTGGGGGCAAAGCTGTGCAGGCAGAAGGAAGAACAAGTGCAAAGGCCCTGAGACAGCAGCCAGGCTGGGATTTTCAAGGAATGGCCAAGAGGCTAGTGTGGCTTGAGGGGAATGAGCGGAAAGAGATGGGGGCAGAGAGGGGACGGGGGCCACACCTACAGGGGCTTGCACACACACCACTGCAGGGACTTTGGCTCTTAGACTGAATGAGGTGAGGCGCTTCTGCAGTGTTTTGAGCAGGGGTGGGACACGCTCTCCCTTGGGTGGTCAGTTTCTCCCTGTGAAGAGAGCAGATGTGAGGGCAGGAGCAGAGAAGCCTGCATCCTGCACTAGTCCAGGTGGGTAATGATGAAGCCTGGCCAGGGTGGGGCCGAAAAGAAGGGGTCAGATTTTGGATTTATTTTGAAGACAGGGTTAGCAGGATTCACTGACATATTTTGCCTGAGCAACTTGCAAGAAGGATGGTTACGGCTGCTGGGATCTGCCATTCATGCTAGTGGGGCTGGTGGGAGAGCAAATGCCTCAGGAAGGAACCCTGCCCCTCCTCAGCCTCCACTGTGCCTGCCCGAACACATTCATGCACTTCGTGCCAATGTGGTAGCTTAGAAAACTGCTGAAGAGGCCCCATTTTTAATGACTGTACCAGGAGCTGTGCCCTCTCCGAGTCAGCAGGGGGTCATGTACCCCAGTCACCTTCCCAGTTTCCCAGCCTTAATATCCCCTTTTTATGAGCATGTTGATCCAGGTCTGCAGCTGCCAGCCCTCTTGCCCCCATTGGTCCAGTTTTGTCTCCCAGACCAACTGCCCACAAATACCTGTTTTGGTATACATTTATGGAACCCACCATGTTCCAGGCGTTGTCCAGGGCACTGTGGGACAGCAGGGAACAGAACAGACATCCCTGCCCGTGTGGGGCTGGCATGGTCCTTCAACAACTACAGCCCTGTTCCCTTTTCTCCCCATCAAAACCCTCTAATGCCAAGCACTTCCTGAGCAAGCTGGGGCTACCATGTGGAACTGAGAGCAAAACACTCGAGAAAATGCTTTTCTTTGAAAGCAAAGAGCTTGATATTTTAGCTGATGGGGGTGGGGAGCATCGGGAGTATAGAGATCCAAGTTCTCTTACATTTTTGGAACATTTTCAAATAGTTTTTGTTCCCCTCAGTGTTCCCCACTCCCCTGATTGCAGGATGGAGGCTGATCTGGCCCACCCACCCTGACCCATGCAGGTTCTGGCTGGAGTGACCGCAGAAGGCTTGCCTTGGTGGCCACCTCCCCACCAAGGGAAGGGGGCGGGAGGGAGCACATCTCAGTCTCTGCCCTGGTCTGGGGTCTGCACAGGAATGCTGGTGTTGGGCCAAGACTGAGGCGTCTTCTGCGTGCCTCTGATCTGAAGGACCTTTGATCTCTTCTGTCTGTAGTTTTCCCTGCCATCTGTGTGTCTGTCCATCCTTCCCTACTTGACTGCAACAGGCCACCAGCTGAGGTCAGTGCAGCTTCAGGCTCAAACAGGGCAGAATCCGAGCCTAAGCCCCCTCGACCCCCACTGCGGACCCTTCACTGGACATGGGCTCCAGGAAGATGGCCCCGCCTGCAGGCCTGTGGCTGCACCTCCACGCAGCCTCCTTCTCCTGAGGCATCCAGACTATGGGTATTCATCTTCCTTCCTCAGCGCCAGCGTCTGAGTGAAGTCAAAGCTGCTGAACTTGAAAGAGGCAAGGCCCTGGGGTTCAGAGAACCCAGGTGGGGGGCAGGAGGCTGGCTGGGGAAAAGAGAGGACTAGGCAGCTGCAAAGGGAGACAGATTGGGGGCTGGGGAGGACGACAATAGATGAAGGAGAGGGGAAAGAAAGGCAGGAGGAGAGAGAGGGAGGGTTACAGAGCCACAGGGCCAGGGACCAGAGGGTGCCTAAGGAGAGGCACTGAGAGGCAGGTAGGGGTCTTCTCCCAGCCTCACTTGGGAAGCACTGCCCTGCTCACCCTGGCACCGTCCTTGGCAACCTTTGTTCCTGGCTACAATGAGGCCATACACTCTGGACACATCGGGCTGGCTGGGGTTCGCTGCCATGGCCATAGGAACAGCTGGGCACAGGCCTGCTTGGTAGCAGGACCCACAGGTGCCTTCTTGCCCCTGCCCCTTGTTCCCAGGGCTCAAACCTACCCCTGGGCCAGGGAGCCACCAAAGGGCTTGGGGCAGTGGTGTGGCTGAGGCCTAACCTGTCGTCTGTGCCATACAGACTGATCTGCAACTGCAGCCACAGACTGACCCTTAGCCATGGCAGCAGCCACATTCTGACTCTTGACCCTGGTCGCTGTGATCCCTCCCCAGTCCCAGCAACAGACTGACTCCCAGCCTCTTCCACAAATGGACTTCTGACCTCAGGCACAGGCTTCAGCCACAGACATCTAGCTGCTGCTATAGACAGACCTCTGAGCCTGCCACAGCCTGAGCCTCAGTCCTGACGCGGGTGGGGTCCCCCAGTGGTGGGCATCCCGTGGGCACATTCCACCAGGCCGCCCAGGGACATCGGGATGGGCCCGCTCCATGCCATCCCACCCTGAGGTGAGTGGCAACATCAACCCCACCAGTGCCCCACGCTAAACCCACGGGGCTGTGGTGACCACAGCAGAGTCCAGCAGCACCACACAGGAGGCCCCTCCATCCGGCCCTGGGCCAGCGTGTGCAGGCCAGACACACACGCAGACACACCCAACACAAAACACACCCAGAGTCAGACAGAATCACACAGTTACCTCATACGCAGCCCCCAGACCCTCCATACAATGTGCACCCAGACACACAGGCACTACACACATGAATAGACACGAAACCACACACACATGCACACAGACATGTGTGTGCACACACACAGAACCCTGTCTCCCGCTCAAGCAGGGCACACACATCCAGAAACATGGGTACATACATCTGTGTGTATACACACACAATCATACAGACACACACATACCTACATGCAGAGATGTATACACATATACACATGTATACATATAAATGACACGTGCACATGCAAGAACATGCAGATTTCTCTATGTAGAAGTCCACACACACCCAAGTGTCAGTCACCTGCCTTCACACGTCTTTTGTTCCCTGGCCCCAGGGCTCATGGGTATCTCCGGGTGGCTTAACCACTCCTCAAGTGACCCCTCCAGCCCCTTCCCAACTCAGCTCAGAGCTCCATGGGCTTCTGCCCTCCCTGGACTTGATGGCAGCAGGGATGCTGCCTCCAGTCCTTCTCCTGGCCCCAGTTGGGTGAAGACCTCTCAAGTCCCCTGACTTTGTCCTGACTGGTGGCTGCAGCTCCTGCCTAGACTCAAGCTGGCTATGACATGCCCTTACGTCTTTGGCATGACTTGGACAACTCCTTCTCTGCTAAGGGAAACCCATTTCCCCACCACAGTTTGTCATCTGCGAAATGGGTAACAGCGTGTTGCACAGCCTTCTAGCACCCCTCCACTCCTGACAGGAGGGCACAGAACGGACAACAGGAGGTGGATGTGGAACAGAATATGTGGGATTCCCAGGGGCGACTTGGCCCTCTCACAGTCTCCAAGTTCACATCTGCAAAGGGGCGAGGATCGGATCGGGCACAGCCTCTCTAGGGCCAGGATGAGTCCAGGGGAAACTTTGAATGGAAAGCCCTTTCTGGGCAGCATCTGAATCTGTGGAGATCACTCCTGGAAGGATGGAGGAGAAACTGCTGGAAGGTCAGGAGCAGGAGGGACACTTGCTGCTGTGCTATCTGAATTTCTACCACGTGAATGGAAGGGGCCGGGGAGGCAGAGGAAAGACGCCAATGACCACACCACTCCTCGAGCCTCTCCTCCCGGTCTGGTGTCATCCCAGAATGCCCTGGTGGAACCCAGGTGGCTACACCATGGGAGGGGGTGGCGTGCAGAGCTGGAGCTAACTCTGCCAAGCAGCCCACACGGAATCCTCTCAGCCATCCTCTGAGGTGGGTGTCCTTAGCCCATTTGAGAGATGCAGACACTGAGGCTCTGCAAGCAGAAGAGAGAGAGAGGCATGGGCCTGGGTGGAACCCAAACCAGTGTCCGGTCTCACAGCTTGTCATGGGGCTGCTTTGTACCTTCCGCACCAGGGCCCAGGTCAGAGGAGCCCAGCCCAGGGACAAGCACAGAGGAAACAGCAGAGCCCCTGGCTTCAGATGTCCCCTGGCTCTCCAGCAGAGGACCAGGTAAAATGATGGCTCTTGGCCTCCCACATACCTTAAGCCAGAAAAGGCATCCCCTGCTCACCCCCAGTGTAATTCCTGGCTTGGGCCTGTCCTGGCTGTGTGCCCCTGGGCAGTTTTACACCCTCTCGGAACCCAAGTTTCCAGAACTGAGATGACGGATTGCATTTCTGCTCCTGCTTACCTAACAGAGGGTGATGTGGGTGGGATGGGAAGCAGCATTCTAAACTGGGAAGTCCATGAGGTGGAAGGCGACATTACTACTTCTCTCCCCAAGCTCAGCAAGAAAGCTCCTGGGCTGAGACAAGGAGAACCCTCCCAAAGCCAGCACCTGCAACGAGGCAGCTTGGAGAGCAGACCTGCGGACCAGACCCTTCACCCGTCACGACAAGTGGATGGCCCGAGCTCAGCCCACAACCAGGATTTCCTTCCAGTCCTGTTTCTGTGCCCTTCTGTAGGGGAGAGGCTGCCTGCTGCTCAGCTTCCTTATTCGACCCACAGTACTCCCACAGTGTGTGCCAGGAGGCTCGCATCCAACTGCTTCCCATTACGTTTCTGAGCCTCAGGTTTTTCACCTTTAAAATGGGGAAGAATAGCAAGGCCCGCCCGGGATGTGCTGGTGATAAACAGAAATGAGTGCATGAATGTCACTCAGGGTTGGCCACGCCACAAGCCCTCCGTAAATGTTAGCACTGATGATTATCATTCCCTCCTGGACTGTGGAGAAGTTTGAGTTTTCAATCTCCAGGATTAGTATCAAATTCCAATTTCACAGCCATGGCCTAGACACTGAATGTGGAAATCCTACTTGGTTGTGCCACCAGGGTACAGGCCCACCCACGCTTTGTCCCGAGAGCTGAATGACCACCGACACAGGCTCTGGGCTGCTGGTCCTCCAGTCTCTTCAGAACCTCCCAGTGGCCAAGGTAGGCAGGGAGAGGCTGGGAGCCCCCTTCTGCAGACCCAGAAACTGGGGTTCAGAGAGGGAGCTGAGGAAGCAACAGGAAGACAGATTTCACCTCCATATAAGGAAGAGCTTGCTAGCAGGCAGGGCTGCCCAGAAATGGAAGGAGGGAGCTGCTCGGGAGGTGGTGAGCAACCTGCGGCTGAAGGCATGCAAGCAGAACGGGGCAGCCTCTGGGTAGAGGCATCGTGGGCGGCTGGGACACTCTCCAGAGGAGGGCCGCTGGGATCTCTGGTCCTGTGACTTGACCAAGGCCATGTGAGCGGGAATGGAATTCCAGAAGGTCAGAGCCGGGGACCAGAACAAGCTCCTGCTCCCAACCTCCCACGTAAAAGCCGCGCAGCTGGACGGATCCACAAGGGCTAGAGAGCGAGCCTGAGCCCCTCCAAGTGGCTCCCCCATCCCTGGCCCTAGTCACAAAGTCTTTATGTTTTTAGAGACAAATGCCTACTTTTACTTTTTAAAAATTGAAAAGTACACACAAGTAGAATGACCAAAAAAACAAACAAACAAATCCAGAATCCCCTTCACCCTGTGACAATTACTGTGAATATTTCCTTACAATATTTTATTTCTAAAAATATTTATTTATTTATTTATTTTTTGAGACGGAGTTTTGCTCTTGTTGCCCACACTGGAGTGCAGTAATAAGATCTCGGCTCACTGCAACTTCTACTTTCCAGGTTCAAGCGATTCTCCTGCCTCAGCCTCTTGAGTAGCTGCGACTACAGGCATGCATCATCATGCCCAGCTAATTTTTGTATTTTTAGTAGAGACGGGGTTTCACCATGTTGGCCACGCTGGTTTCGAACCCCTGACCTCAGGTGATCCGTCCGCCTCGGCCTCCCAAAGTACTGGGATTACAGGCATGAGCCACCGTGGCTGACCTATTATTATTATTTAGAGACAGGATCTCACTGTATCACCCAGGCTCTAGTCTCGAACTCCTGGGCTCAGGTGATTCTCCTGCCTTGGCCTCCCAAGTAGTGGGGACCATAGGCACCATCATG